CTAGTTGTACTCAAGAGAATAGCTAAGGCTGAATTCAAAAGGACCAACTACTCAGAAAGAATAGACAGGTTGAAGAAAATTATAAAAAACTTAGGTTTCGATCCTAATGAGCCTGAGAAGGAGTTAGAAGTGAAGGAAGAAGAACGCAGGAAGGAAGAAGCTGCGAAGAAGGAGGAAGAGGACCGAAGAAAGGCAGCTGAGTTGGAACGCAAGAGGCTCGCAGAAGCTGCTGAAATAGAACGCAAAAAGAATGCAGAAGCTGAGATTAAAAGGCGACTAGAATCCTTGAAAGATGATAAGGAGAAAACAGAGTATTGGAGAAAAAAGCTTGAAGAATGGGAGAAGGAAAAGTCTAAACCTGAGGAACCAAAGAAGTCTCAACCTGAGAAACCTAAGAAGTCTCAACCTGAGAAACCTAAGAAGTCTCAACCTGAGGAACCTAAAAAGCCCAGAGGTAAAGAACCTAAAAAACCTGAATTCAAGGAACCTAAGAAGGTAGACATAGGTGAGAAGTCTGAGGAGCCCGCAGGTCCTGACACTGAATGGGTAGATAATACTTACAACGTTGAGAGTCTTCTGTTCCAAGTCGCAGAGGATAGTATCCCAGAAGACAATCAACCTATATTCAGTGGTGCCAGCACAGAAACAATGGTGAAGGATGTTAGAGAGGATCTAACGAGGTATGAAAGATTCAAATCATGGGTTGAAGATAACTTCGAAGTTGTGATTGCAGGTATTATAATATCAGTTGCTGCTCTCCTTACAGCTGTCATCATACAGACCAGGAAACTTTCCTCAAAAGCAGCAAACTTTTCAAATAAAGGTTCAAGTTCAGATTCACAACCAAGGCCACTCCCTAATGTAGCAAACAAACTGATTAAATTCATATCATCAAACTTATGGAAAATAGCAATAGTTGTAGGAATAGCCTTATACTTTTACCACTAAACATTACATATTGTATAAAGCATGAATACCACAGAAAGAGAACTCCAGCCTGGCTTCAGGAGAAGCCGTATGACATCCATAAAAGGACTTAGAACTAGAAGTGTTGTAACTTTCAATCCAACAACAATTAGCCCGGGAGAAGAGCTGTACATTAACATTCCTAAATTAAAGCCCGACTCTTGTTTAGTTCCAGGGTCACTTACACTCTTATTTGATTTTAAAAATTCAAATACAAAGAGCAGGTTCAATAATAACCTAGCTAAGTTGATTGCAAAACGTCTTCAGGTTAAAGTAGCAGGTGAAACAGCCTATGACTGTTCAGGAGAGAGTTTGTACGAAATTTATAAAGACCTATGGCTAACACAGGGTGATAGAAATAAGATGACAGAACAGGGCCTCGGAAGTGAAAACCTGAGAAAGCTGATATCAGGTGATGACTCAGGAGTAAAAGTAGGTGATGCAGGTAAAATAGCAGATGGACTTCTCCATAGTGTATACGGCTCCAAACTTAGAAAACCAATTGATAAGATTATCGCAGACCATGGACTCTACGTACCATTCTACATGAACAACAATCCTATGTACATATTCACACTCCCCGGATCAGATGAAATTATGACTGCTCAAGGAGGTGAAGCTAAGGGTAATTATAAACTGGATAATCTCGAGTTAGAATACGAGACCATTGAGAATGACGCCCTTGCAGGTGAAGTATCAAGGATGTACTCAACAGGTCGCTCACTGTCCTACAAACACGTCACTCTTATGCGTACAAGTAATTGGGACAAAGATCTTACCATTGTGAATGAAAACATAAATATTCCCAGAAAGAGCATGTCAGCAATTGTCCTTCTATTTACCAACAGAGTAAGAACTGATTCTGAAGAATATACTTACCGAAACATTGATAAAGTTAACCTTACCATTGAGGGTGTGCCTAATGCAGTTTTCTCCCAGGGACTTCCTAAAAGTAGGTTCTTTGAAGAGGCAAAACGATTCTTTTGTCCTATGTGTGAGAAATCCATGGCAGACGAATTTATGTCCATCAGCAGGTTCTTCAGCACCGGTTTCGCTTTAGTAGTAGATCTAAGGTCAACACAGGATGACACCACTGGAGGAGGTAGAAAGATTGTTAACACACAGTCTGGAGTACTTATGGAAATTAAAAAGAGAGCCACAACAGCTGACATCCAATGCAACATTTTTATTGTATCAGATGCTCTCCTTAACTTTGCTAGTAGAGATCTATCAAGTATTCAGTACTAATTAGTACTAACGGTAAAGCATAGAGATGAATCTAGAGCCACCATTTAATATGCTCATAGTAGGAATGACTGGAAGTGGTAAGACTCAGTTCTTACTTAACATGCTAGAAACAGAATACAATAAAGTTTTCGATTATATTGTTATTATATGTCCAACAATAGAATGGAATATGACTTACATTAACTGGGCTCATATTAGTGACCACGGAGTTATACAAATTCCATGTTCACAAGAAATGATCAATCTTATTCTCAAGGCAGTGTCCACCATATTTCGTGGAACCCAGGCTCTCATCATTGTGGATGACTGTGCTGCGAGTCAAGATGTAAAGAAAAGAGTCTCAGAACTGGTGCGCCTTGCATTCTCCGCAAGACATTACAACCTATCAGTTATTGTAATTACCCAACAACTGTCATCGGTAGCAAAACCATTCAGGGAGAACATTTCCAGGTTAGTTACATTTTACAACCCTAGTCGCAGAGATATGAAGGTTATAACAGATGATTACCTGAGTGGTGTCCCTCAGGAGACAATTACAGAGATTACAAAAATACTAAAAGATGAGAAGTTCACCGCACTAGACGTACTACTTATTCACCCTTACACACACACCATCAAACTAAACACCGCGTAGAATATAGAAGATGGGAAGCGAATCTGAAGAAGAAATATTTGAGGCTGTAAGAGAAGTAGAGGAGGCCGCAAAGGCGCCGCAAAGGAAGGCTAAGTCTACCGCAAGAAAAAATAAACCAACCACAGATAAGTCGCAAACCGAACACAAAAGGAATAAGCTTATCGAGCTATCTAAGGACGGTGTAATTGATAAGACCGCAGGTTTCATAAGAAAGTCAAACAAAGATGTTATAGATAGACTTTACAGTGAGTATGAGAGTCAGAGGATGTCATGCGCAAGTGACTTCTTATCAACACTTATTATCTCAAAGTTTGCTTCCATACCAGGAAGTTTTAATGCAGTGGAATCTTCTGAGAAGCTGTCAGAGGAACTACTTAGTGATAAGCTTTTAAAGGATGACGTATGTTATTTAACTAGAACGATATCCCCAAACATTCCATTCATTGGTCTTATATCAGGTGGATGCACAACAGCTAAGCACGTGGTAGCTCACAAGTGGAAGAAGAAGGAAAAGACTGAGGAAATATCTGAGGAAGCAAAACATATCGTATTACATAGTGAAGAAGAATGTCTCAACTCGGAGAGCCGTACGACTGGGGAAACACCTGGGAAGGAACTGAATTTGAAGACATAATTAATGAACTGATTGAGAAAACTAACGCTAGCAATGAGAGGCTGGATAAGATTCACCAGCAAATCTGAGTTATCTCACCAGCAAATCTGAATTATCTCACCAGTAGATTCGAGTTATCTCGACAGATATCTGACCAGTAGATTTAAGTTATCTTGCAAGTAAATTTGAAACATCTCACAAACAAATTCAAGTTATCTCACAAGTAGAATTTAAGATGTCTCATAAGACTAAACCCAGTTAAACCTAAGGTATCTTACAAGTAGAATGGAAGATAAACCTGAGCAAATCCAAGCACAAGTAACAAGTGAGAAGAAGAAGGACCCAAAGAGAGTAGCTGCAGGAAAACGATTAGCTGCGATCAGCAAAATAGCAAAGGAGAGGAAAAAGAAACTTGCGCAACCTAAGGAGCCATCAAGTAATAGTTTTATTACCTACATAGGAGTAGCCATTGCACTGGTATCTTTAGTGCTAGCATACAAGTCGCATCAGAGGGAAACCAGGGAACCGGAACCCAAGCACGCAAATGAGACTGTCGAGATAACTAGGAAAGCTGACGAGTCCAGGTTAGATTCACTTGAATGATGCATTAAACATAATATATATTATAACAGAATGAGTAAGGAATCAAAGATGACGATGGACGTGTACAACGCAGTGTTACTTACAGTAGGAGCAGTCGGTATTTCAATGGCATCGAAGAAACTATTAAAAGAACCGTTAGGAACCCCAGAGAATGTAAAAGGAATGGCAAAGTTAGCTGTCTCAGTTAGCCTTTCATCCCTACTAGTATCTTACTTGAAAGATAAGAAGTATCTACCGGATGATCCATTCAAAACCTAGGTAAAACTATATAATGGCGTCAGCAGTAGCAGGAGGACTCTTTAATGCATTTGCATTTGCTGGAGCAGGATACTTATTTAAGATGTTTGACAAGAACGGATGTGCTAAGGAAGCCCACAGACATAACATTGCAATGGAGAACCTAACAGCTGAAAGAGAGAAGTACCTTGAAGAAGTCACTGATAGGAGAAACAGACTTGCCAAACTGAAGTCAGAATTAGTTGAGGCAAATAGAGATATCAATGCAACAAACAAATCACTGGAACTCGTTAGAAGGATCAATGAGTTAACACGTAAGGCTATGCCAAGGAGACCGCAGTTAAGCAATCACTACAAACCTAGCTCCGAGATGGAAGAATATATGGCAATTTTTGGTTTAATTATAGGTGGGGTGGTTGGAGGGGCAGCTTATTTAATTTTATAAAATACGGTAATTTTCTTTTACCTATATAATATAGAGAAATGGATTGGCTTGCAATGGTAGACGTTGACGAAGTGGTGGCCTTAGGAAAAAGGGTGGACACCATAGAAGAACTGGAGGCCGCAGTTAAAAAATATGTGGAATGGCGTATAATAAGGAGGCGTAAAAACAAACCACAAAAACAAGCAGAAAATTTTAACACATATAGTATAGGGGATGGACTGGCTGACACTGGTAACACCTGATGAAATGGAACGAGTCGGTTATATAAAATAATAATCTGTTTTATTAAAATATAGTTTCTATTGATTTATATTCAATTATAAACAACTTGTATTGGGTGGCAAATTCAAGTGCGTCTCCCTTGGAAAGAGAGGGAAAATGGGTTAGCATTACCAACCATATTGCTGATATCCACGTACATCAAGGAAATAAAGTTTTTTTGAAATGCTGTCATGAAGGCATTGAAAGAAGATGGTTGAAAAGGGATAATAAGTAATACAATATAAGCTAAACATAGTGGGTCTTATTTATGTCTTATTTTCTTAATGACACTTAACAATTATTTAATGAGGTCGAGTAGGATATGAGGAAATCTTAAGGCCAAAGTTTGTTATCTGCCTAAGCCAAAGGCTAAGGCAGATAACATAAACAGAGGCCTTAATAATTCCTCATATCCTGTAAGAGCCGAATTCAATAATTTTTTAAATATTATTTATTGTTCTGTTATTTGTTTTATTGTTTATTATTCATATATTCCTGATCTTGACATAAGTCACATAAATTAGGGTCACATCATAGGGTGCTAGATCGTTTTTCAATATACCATGCATGAAGTCACATTAAACGTGAAATAATTGTTTCTATATTCCACGGTGGTGTCATAATTCCAAATTTCCGGGCAGCTATCAAGTGTACATGATGATTTCGCCTACAGCTTTTAGCCAATCAAAACTCTTGAATTCTTTCCAATAAATAATTAACAGTTATTCTACGAACTCAAGTCGAATATGAGCTGATAGCCGATGAGGCGCGTAGCGCCGAATCGGCTATCGCTCATATTTGACAAGAGTGAGTGGAATAACTGTTTTATTATATACACAAGGTCTGCATTCACAGATTTTGCTTTTCGGATAGTTTCAGTATTTTTCTATTTTGTTTATGTTTTCATCTTCGCTCTTTCGGTCGATTATTTTTTGAAAAATATATATTTTTAACCATTTTAAATACAAACCTGTAAACAATTTGTGGGAGTTTTTCATTGTGTTTTTAATTCTGTAAAGGCTATAAAAAGCGAACAACTTGCCATTTTTTTCATTCAATTTGATTCAATTCAATTTGAGCCGCCATTTTGTATTTCTCTACTAGCAGGATATGAGCTAATATCCTGGTAGTAGAGAACCAATCAGATTGCAGAATACCTCATATGCAGACCTTGTGTATATAATAATAAAAGTTATCGCATCTGGACACACTTCATTTCAATATAAATGCATTTTATCTGATGTAATAAATTACTTTTTATCCACATATATTTTAAGGATCAGCTACGCATAAGAAACTAATTGAAGTTGTTACTGTATTGATGTTTATAACTGTTACCCAAAAGTCTTTATTACTTCGATTAATATAATATGTCTGAATCTCAGCTTGTCAGTCTCGAGCCTAAAACATGGAGCCCAAAAACTCGACAACAACAATGACTCACGTGACATCAACGATGATGTCATCGCCACATCTCCCTCTCAATATAAAATTGTTTAACGGCATCATAGTGTTTATGCCTAACATATACCTAACATTTTTGTGTCCCAACGAAATTGTTTAACGGCATCATAGTGTTTATGCCTAACATATAACTATAAATAATGTGTGATAATTCTTAGTGTCTCTCGTAATCTTTATGCCAATCTGGCGAACGTCGCACTCGCGTAGTTCGACGAGGGATTGACTCTTCTTGTCCCGCGTCACTTTCTCTCGGCGTTTGACCTCCATTACTGCCAGAACTGCCTACCTGATTTTCATTTTCTGTTTCATGAGTTAAAGGGTTAGTTGGGGTGCTATGTTCCACGACTGGTAAACTTGGGGTGAGGTCCTTTTCTATCGGCTCGCTCGGTTCGATTTGGGAATCTTTCGCGTTGGGAGGTGGTGCCATCTCTTTGGTCGCACGTAGATGACGGCGATTACGGCGATATCGCCTTCCACAAACCTCGACTTCGAAAGATCGGTTTTCGAGCGCACGTACGCAGGTACCAAGCGACCAACGGTTATCGCCTGAAAGTTTCATTCTAATGGCGCATCCACTTTGTAGGGGCTCAAGCGGTTTACATTTCTTGTTATACAACCTTGCTTGTTTTGCTTTGCGGTTCTCTAATTCCTTCTTTGTTCCGTTTTGTTCCGGTGTTTTAAGAAGACTCTGATGTGTGGGAAGCAATGTACGAGTACGTCGACCCATTAATCTTTGCGCTGGTGAGGTTCCAATATTTTCAGTCGGGGTGTTCCTCCAATCTAGTAATGCTAATAGAGGATCTTCACCCCTGGCTTTTGCTTTCTTTAATAGGGATTTACAAGTTTTCACTGCATTTTCGGCACGTCCATTAGATTGAGGATAGTGTGGGCTCGATGTTTGGTGTTCAATTTGCCACTCTTTTGTAAACTGGGCAAATTACGCAGACGCAAACTGAGGGCCATTATCGGAGATTAGGGTGTCCGGAATTCCATTCCTCGCAAATTGGACCTTTGATGCAGTGATGACAGTTTTCGATGTAACTTTTGAGAACTCTTGAACTTCAAAGAACCCACTCCAGTAGTCAACAATGATAAGAAATTGCTGATGTCCCAATTGAAATAGGTCCTCTCCAACCACTGACCATGGTCGTTGTGGTAGGTCGTAGGACTTCAGTGGTTCACGACACTGCTCCGGCTGGTGTGTTTGGCATATAGAGCACTTTGAAACATAATCTTTCACCTCCGCATTCATTCGTGGCCAATATATCACTTCCCGTGCTCGCCGCAGACAACCCTCAATACCTATATGGGACTTGTGAATTTGTTGTAGCATTTCTTTTCTTAAGGATGAAGGCACGACGAGTCTTTCCCCAAAGAAGACTAATCCATTATCTTCAGTAAGTTCGCTTCGATTGTTATAGAATGGAATTAGTGCTGGTGGACATTGTTTCCGGTCTATTGCCTATCCTGTATTGATAGCGGTGATGAATTGTTGCATCACTGGGTCTGTTGATGTACATTGTTTAAACTGGTTTAACCTGTTCGGAGCTATTGACACACCTTCGCAGTGGTTAATTTCTTCTAATGCACGTACTTCGCTTATGTGATGTTCGGCAGACTCGGTTGTACTTCGGTATACCCGACTCAGAGTGTCTGAAATCCACATTAATGTTCCTTTCTTATAATGAATTTCTAGTGTGTAACTCTGTAGGGCCATTAACATTCTTTGCAATCTTTTAGGCGATTTGTGGATAGCCTTTGCGAAAACTGCTTTCAGTGGTTGATGATCTGATTCAATGTGTACAATCTCGCGACCAAGGATGTATTGATCAAATTTGTTGGTGGCCCAAACGATTGCCAATAATTCCTTTTCAATTTGGGCATACCTGGTTTCTGTCTCCGTCAGCGCTCTTAAGGCATACGAATTGGCTGGTCTTCTTGCAACAACACGACGCCAAGTCCGGTTTCACTGACGTCACACTGTATTGTTACTTCTTTATTGACGTCGTAATAAGCAAGTACTGGGGCTTTCGCAAGGTAGTCCTTTACTGTTTTAAATGCTTTTTCGTGTTGCTCTAGCCAACACCACTCAAAATCCTTGTCTTTGAGCTTTCGTAGTGGTTGAGTCATGTCCGATAACAATGGTAGGAATTTGGCGAGGTAGTTGACCATCCCTAGAAAACGCTTGACATCAGTTGGAGAAGGCATTTCAAGAATTGCTTCTACTTTGGCCGGATCTGGCTTTAGCCCATCGGGTGTGAGGAGATGCCCCATGAACGCCACTGATGATTGTGCTCGCTTTAGCTTGCTCTTGTTCAACTTTAAGTTCCATTCTCGACATTTTTCGAAAAACACCCGTTCATTCTTTTCTAAACTCGCATTGACCTCTTCTTCAGTATTCCCAAAACCAGCAATGAGAAAGTCGTCAATTACTTCGACACCGTCTAATCCTTCTACGAACTCGTGCATGCGACGCTGCCAAACCTCAGGAGCACTCGAAATTCCAAATGGCAATCTAGTCCACCGAAACCTACCAAAGGGAGTGTTAAATGTGGCCAGGTAACTTGAGTCTTCGTCGAGTTGTATTTGATGGAATCCATCTTTTTCATCGCAAACTGTAAACTTCTTTGCCCCTGTTAACCGGGTAGTGACTACTTCAACAGTGGGCAATTGATAATGTTCACGGCAGATTGCACGGTTAAGATCACGCGGATCTATGCAGATCCTGATTTTGTTTGGTTTTACTACAGCTAACATACTTGATACCCACTGTGTTGGTTTGGTTACTGGAACGATCACTTCACGTTCAACTAACTTATTCAGTTCTGATTTTATACGGGGACGCAGGGCCACTGGCACTCGTCGTGGCGGGTGGACTACAGGTTGCACTGTACTGTCAATCACAATCTTGTACGTGTCTGGTATTTTACCTAATGAACCATCAAAAACGTCCTTGTATTCACTTGCTGGATCTTTGGGGGGTTGGATACCAAGAGATAGGATGTCACAATGTCGCAGGTTTACAATACCCAAAGCTACGCTGGTATCTAGAGACAGAATTGGTCGATAGTCACCATCAATGATAGTGAACTTGATTAGTTGCTTTTTCCCCGCATGCCATACTGGAAGTGTGACCTTTCCAGTTATGTTGCGTCGCTCTCCAGTGTATGATACAATCTCTTTCTTGCAAGGTTTCAGTAATTTAAGCTCCGTATCTCCTGTGACCCTTACATATGTCTCAGTAGAAAGAATGTTGCACTGGGCCCCAGTGTCTATTTGAATCATAACAATGTTCTTATTCTTTTGTTTTTTAATGTGTAATTTTGTCACTGCTGCTTTAAAGCTTCTTTTCATTCTTGGAAACAGAGCTAATGACGTATGTGTCCTCTGAATCCGTGTCAGAGTCCTCTTGGACTAGGGACACGTTTTTGCTTCGACACACCTTTTCGAATATGGTTAAGCTTGTTACAGCTATGACATTTTTTTCCAAATGCCGGACAAATTCGTCTGCCATGATTTCTTCCGCAATTTCGAAAACTATTATGCTGTTGGCGCTGTTGGCCTCTGCCTCTTGTTTGACCTTGACCTTGGCCCTGCCCCTCTTGGGTGTATTTCGCATTGTAAATTTTGTGTCACCTTTATTTTCTTTAATTGTGTTTACAGACAAATCTCCGGTCATTAGCTTTACTTGTTGTTGTGTTTGTTCTGCGGCCTTAATTATTTCAACAGCTTTCTTCAGTGACAACCCATCTGTTCGCAGCAATCGCTCGCGAACTTTGTCATCTCTTATGCCCAATACTAGTCTATCTCTTAATATTTCATCGGGTGTAATTGACTCATGATCACAATTTCGAGCGATTGTTCTTAATTCGGTTAAATAAGTTGAAACATTCTCACCTTGTTCTTTTTTTCTGTTATTAAATCGATAGCGTTCATAAATAACTTGAGTTCTTGGTTCGCAATGCTCGTCAAATTTCTTTAGAACCTGGTCTATATTGTCTTCGCTTTCGCCTTCTGCCCACGTAAAAGTGTCGAATGTTTTGACGCCATCTTCACCTATTATACTTAGCAGGGTTGACACACGAACAACTCCGTCTTGCTTATAAACTCCTGTGGCAATTTCAAAACGTTTCCAAGCCTTTTTCCATGTTTTCCAACTTATCGCGATGTTGTCATCAAACACGAGTGGTTTCGGCGGCGGTATATTCGACGGTGGAACGTATATGCCTGTGGCGGCGGGCGCTTCTGGTTCTGCCATTGCTCGATGTATTTACTGTTTATTTGTTGATTGTACGGGTTCTTTTCCTGAAAAAAAACGCCTCGGTCGTGCAGTACGATCCCGCACCTGACACCATGTAACGATGTTTATAACTGTTACCCAAAAGTCTTTATTACTTCGATTAGTATAATATGTCTGAAGCTTTCTGATGATGCAGTCATTTTTGTTGTAATTGAATACAAACTTTCACATTTTCTTGCTGTAATACAATTAGGATAATTACTGATCACTCATTTTCTCGGTATTGGGTGTATTGGGAAAGTTTTTTGCTTGGGAACTTTTTGTGGTAATTGAGCATCTATGGTACTATGCATTGAACCACAGAAAATCTATTCCCCAGGAGGGTGCCACGAAATTGCTTTTCTTAATAGTGGAAAACCGGCTTATGTTTGATATGCAAAATTATCCTCATTATGACGTCACATTGCATAATAGTAGTATGCTAATATTAAACATTAATTAGTAGTATGCTAATATTAAACTTCAAGTTAGTAGTATGCTATTATTAAACTTCAAGTTATTAGTATGCTAATATTAAACTTCAAGTTAGTAGTATGCTAATATTAAACTTCAAGTTAGTAGTATGCTAGTATTAAACTTCAAGTTAGTAGTATGCTAATATTAAACTTCAAGTTAGTAGTATGCTAATATTAAACTTCAAGTTAGTAGTATGCTAATATTAAACTTCAAGTTAGTAGTATGCTAATATTAAACTTCAAGTTAGTAGTAT